CCTCGCCGGCGTGGAGGCCGCCCACCCGATCCCCCCACAGCTCTTCCTGTGCGGCGGTGCCAGTCGCAGCTCCGCCCTGGGGCCGACACCCGCGCGCCTCCACCCACAGCTCTTTAGAAAGTGTTTCCGAGAAAGACGCGGCGTGGCCATCACCCCCCTGGAAAAAGTGACAGTTTCTAGTCGTCAAAGACAGTCAGCGTTCAAATCCCCGGCTCAGACACCTGTGGCCTCCGCATGATTTCTTTCCTGCCCCTTTTTCTTCCTGTGACAAGATACACGCAACGTGGGATTTGTCACCCTCACCATCTCTAAGCGCACATTTGGTGGGGCAGCCGTGGCCAGCACCGTCTCCGGGACTTCTGCGCTTTCCCAAGCCGACACTCACTCCCCACGCCCTCTCTAGCCCCCAGCACTCACGCATCCACGTCCCATCCCCGTGGATCGGCCTGTTCTGGACATTTCACAGACACGGAGTCGCACAGTGTGTCCTTTGGTAGCTGGGTCTGCCTGAGCATGACAAACTCAAGGCCCATCTGTGCTGTGGCCTGTGTCAGAGTCTCCTCTCCACGGCTCGAGTTATGTTCCACGTGTGGACGGACCACGCTGCTGACCCATCATCTGTGGATGGACCCTCGGGTCATGTGCTACGTGGATGCACCACGCTGTGTGGACCCGTCATCCATGAGTGGGCACGTGGGCCGTTTCGAGGGTTTGGTTTTTGCAGAAACACATGCCACGAGCATGCCTGCGGGGTGCTCTCTGCAGGTCGTTCCTGGGGCTCCCCTCCCTACCCCACATGACCTGGGCCCCTGGAAAGCCACGGCCCGGGTTTCTCCTGCCGGACAAGCCCTCTCTCCCGCTGGACTTGAAGCTGGAGGATGTCGGTCTGCGGGTGCTGCCAGGAGGGGGAGTCCGCCGAGAGCCGGGCCCTTGGAGAAAGCAGCACTCGGGCCACCTCAGCTTTCTCTTGCTGCTGCCACAAATGACATCTGGTGGCTTCAGACAACACAGACGGCTAGGCACAGTGGCTCACGCTTGCTCTGCCAGCGCTTTGGGAGGCCGAGGCGGGAGGGTTACTGGAACCCAGGAGTTTGAGACCAGCCTGGGCCACGTAGCAAGGCCTCACTCATTTCTGCAAAAAATAAAAAAATAAAAAACCAGCAGGGCGTGATGGCGCACGCCTGTGTCCCAGGGACTCGGGAGGCCGAGGCAGCATCACCTGAGCCCGGGAGGTTGAGGCTGCAGTGAGCTGGGATGGTGCCACTGCGCTCCAGTCGGGGCCACAGAGTGAGACTCTGACTCGAAAAAAAGACAACACAGACTTTCGCTCTCAGAATTCCTAAGTCCGAGAAGCTCCAAAGCCCAGCTGTGGCAGGGCCAGTCTGTCCTGGTGGCTCCAGGAGACCCTGTGTCCCCCTTCTCCAGCATTTAGAGGTGTCCACACCCTTGGTTCTGGGCTCCATCCTCTGTTCGCAGCCTGGCCTCTTCCAGTCTGACTGAGCCTCCTACCTCCTCTTTTCTGAGTTGGCATCTCACCCCGTCGCCCAGATTGGAGTGCAGGGGCACACTCACGGCCACTGTGGCCTCGACCTGCTTGCTGGGCTCCGGCAATCCTTCCGCCTCAGCCTCCCAAGGAGCCGGAACTACAGGTGCACGCTACCACACCCAGCTAGTTTTTTTTATTGTAGAGATGAGGTCTCGCCAAGTTGTCCGGGCTGGTCTCAAACCCACAGGCTCAGGCAATGCTCTCGTCTCAGCCTCCCCAAGTGCTGGGATTAGAGGCTGAGTCACCGAGCCCAGCCAAGATTCTTTTTTTTTTTTTTCTGAGTTGGAGTCTCACTGTCGCCCAGACTGGAGTGCAGTGGCCGCTCCCGGCCACCGCAGCCGCGACCTGCTGGGCTCCAGCGATCCTTCCGCCTCAGCCTTCCGAGTAGCTGGAACTACAGGCACACGCCACCACGCCCGGCTAATTTTTTTTTTGATTTATTGTAGAGATGAGGTCTCACCTGCCCAGGTGGGTCTCGAACCCGCGGGCTCAGGCAATCCACTCACCTCAGCCTCCCAAAGGCGTGGGATGACAGGCTGAGTCACCGAGCCCGGCTCTAGCCAAGATTCTTAATGCCATCTACGGAGTCCCTCCTGCCAATAAGGCCACATGTTCACAGGTTCCAGGGAGACGGCTATTCTGCTAACCACAGGGGTGGGGAGACAAGAGTGTGCACAGAACCAGTACCTGGATTCAGCTATGCCTGAAACCACTGGCCTTGCTGCAGAAGCAGTATAATTCCATCTTGCGTGAGTGAGTCTGAGTTGGACCCTGTACCTGCAATCACAAGGATGAATAAACGAAGAGGTGGCTCATGCCTGTGATCCCGGCACGTTGAGAGGCCAAGAAGGGAGGGTTGCTTGAGGCCAGGAGTGCCTGGGCAACATAGCAAGACCCCATCTCGACAAAAAAAGAAATGAGCCGGGTGCAACGGCATCTGCAGTCCCCGCTACTCAGGAGGCTGAGGTGGGAGGATGGTCTGAGCCCAGGCGTCTGGGACTGGGGTGAGCCGCAGCCTCACCCGCCGAGTGGGCAGGGAGGGTGGCACCCGCCACTCTTAGGGTGGCACTGCTCTGGTGCAGCTCTCTGCAGTCTCCTCTTCAGAGGGGCATGGTGGCTCAAGCCTGTCATCCCAGCACTTTGGGAGGCTGAGGCAGGTCAACTGCCTGAGCTCAAGGGTTCACGACCAGCCTAAGAAACTTGGCAAGACCTTGTTTCTACAATAATCAAAAGATTAGCCGGGCACAGTGACACGCGCTTGTAGTCCCAGCTACCCGAAGGCTGAGGCAGGAGGATTGCCGGCGCCCAGCAGATCGGGGCTGCGGTGGCCGGGAGCAGCCGCGCACTCCAGCCTGGGCCACAGAATGACCCTGACTCACAACACAAACCCCCTCTTCACCCAGCAGGGATGCCCCTGCGGAAAGCCAACATCCACAGAGCGTGTCCACGTGTTCCACGTCCCTCAGTCACGACAGCCCAGGAGGGAGGTTCCATCGGCACCAGGGGAGCCAGGCCCAGCAACCGAACACGGGGTGCTCCGTGAGGGGTGGATTCCAGATGGCAAATGCAGGGTTCATCAGTGTCCATCTCAAATACAGTGTGGGACATGCTCAGAGGAAAAGTTATCTGTTGGGCCGGACACGATGGCGCATGCCTATAACCTCAGCACTTGAGGAGGCCGAGGCGGGAGGGTTGCTAGTGGCCAGGTCAAGGTCGTGGTGAACAAGCCTAGGTCACGTGGCCGGTCTGTGCCCAAACAAAAACAGAAGAACCCCACAACCAAAACGTGGCTGCCACCGGCTCTGAATCCCGGCCACCAGCAGGGGGCTGACAGCCCTGGCTGCCAAGTGCATGGGGCGTGACTGTGCTCCCCACACAAGGGGTCCAGGAGCCCCAGGATCTCGAGGGCTGGGCTGTGGCCGAGCTCACCTCGGAGACACCCGGGGCTCCGGGTGGACAAGTTACACGAGAGGACAGCCGGGAACCGGTGTGGAGGCCACGGCACCCGCTGCCACGGAGGCCAGATACCCGCTAGGGCCGGCATGGCGGCAGCCCTCTGGGTGCGAGGATGCCAGATGGGGCGGGGGGAGCCCTCCCGCTTCCAAACGCAGCCCAGGGGTGTCAGAGCAGCAGGGGGCACACTCGGCGCAGGCCCTGCTGGGGTCTTGCCGCTGTCCCCGGGGCCCTGCCTGCCAGCTGGGTAACACTGGCTGGCAAAACTGAGGCTTCCCGCCCCAGCGATGGGATGGCAGGGCCCAGGCACGTGCCCTGACCCAGGGGGCCTGGGGACCCAGTCTCATCTTGGTGGGAAATATTGGCCCGACAGCACCTCAGCACAGGACCAGCCACCAGGGGGCTTTTTGGCTCTGGGGCCCCACCTGGGGTGGGACAGGCCACAGGTTGGGCCCGGAGGGGCTGAACAGGGCCATTTCTGGCCCTGGGACCCTGAGCCACAAAAGCCAGAGGCCAGGATGTCTTGCGACACGGGCAGCACCTCCTTCTGCCCAGACCCCTCCCGCAATGCGCATCTAGACACCCTGACTCCAGGAGGGCGTGCCGGGCCCTCCGGCTCGTGGAACGGGGCGCCACAGACCGGCTTCTCCCAGGACAGGTCTCCCCGACCTCCCTGGGCCGCCTCTGACGCACGCCAGCAGGGCCACCGGTGAGCCTCCTGCTGCCGCGCCCTCCCAAGGAGAGTTCTGGGGCTTCTCACAAAGTCGTTTTATTTGGGTTTCAAACAAACCAAAGCGGAGAGGAGGCAGCCACAGCGAACTGTCCCTCGGCTGAGAAAGACACGGCTGGGGAGCCCACGCCCGAGGCCGGGCCCCTCGGGCCGTCACCCCGGCCTCAAGCTGGCCGGGCCGCCCGTCACTAGCTCCCTGGTGGTGGCGGACCCCGCGGGCCCGGGTGGCCCTGAGGGGACGTGGTGGCACGCGGCCGACCAGCAGAGAGGCCCGGCACGCAGGGAGGGAGAAGCCCCGCGCCCCCTCCGGCGAGGTAGTCCGCTGTCAAGACCCCAGGCGGGCAGCCCGTGGGGGCCGCTCGTTTGTCCGCAGGTCAGGACTCCTCGGCGCCCGAGTCGTCCTCGTCCCCGAAGCAGCTGCCGGCCTCCTCCCCGGGCTCGCCGTCCTCGTAGTCGTCGTCGTAGAACAGGGCTGAGCCCTCGTCGGGCGCTGGCGCCTTGGTCTTCACACAGTACTCGGCCAGCGTGGTGGGCACCTTCACGCCGTCTCGCTCCGCGTCCACCTGGGTCCCCAGGACCTGCTTCCTGGGGGACAGTGCGGGTGAGGACGCGGGTAGCGACGCGCGCAGCCCCGTGCTCGAGCGTCCTCAGGGCCGCCCGCGGGCACCACTTCCGAGAGCCAGGGCGCACGTGGAGCCAGAAGGGCCGGGGCAGGGAGCAGGGCCCGGGCTGACGCGGGAGCCGCCAGAAGGCCGGGGGCGGGCGAGGGCTGCAGAGGCTGAAGCGGGACCAGCCCCACGTGTGCCCAGGGGCCTGCCACGCAGCACACCACATGCGGGCTGGTCTGGAACCGGGTGAGCACCAAGCCCAGGCCAGAGGGAACGCCATGTGGCCCAAGGACACAGGCGGCGGGACCCACCTGGCAAGACCCTGCATGGAGCCAAGGCGGGCGGGGCACCCAGCCCTCCTGAGGGAGCCGAGGCAGGGACGGCGGTGGGCCGGGCCCGACGGCACGTCCACGGTGCCTGCCGAGGACACCCGGGACCTGCGGGAATCCTGGCAGCGGCACAGCAGGCGAGCTGCACCACCACCGCCCCTCCAGGCACACGCGCTGCCGGGCCACACCGCGGCGGCCAGGCTGCAGGCGACACCCTGGGCCAGATGACAGGCTGGTGACGGGGCCGCAGGGGACATGGACACCAGCCATCTACGGGGAGCCGTGAGGTAGAGCGCCGTCCGGCATCCGGGCCGCCCCAGCAGACAGCGCCGCCTCCGGCCCAGCCCTCCTCCTGGCCGCAGGGGGCGAGGGGCCTGGATGGTGTGGCACAGGCACCGGCCCGAGGCTGGGTGAGCCCAGCTGTGCGGAGGCCTGGGCACAGGCTCCTCTGGGCTTTCCAGACGGGCCGCCCCAGCAGGACCCGGGGGGGGGAAGCTCCTGACACCCACATCCCCACCACCCTGCAGGGCCAGGTGGGACCCTGGCTGTGGCAAGGTCAACACGCACCCGTGGGCTCAAAGCCAGAAGAAAGGCACGCAGTCTTCCACGTGGGCACACATGAGTGGCCCAGGGGGTCTGGAGGATTAAAACCAGTCAGGCTTCGTTTCTGCTGGCGTCTCGGGGGAGGCCCCGTGTGGGAGGCTGCCAGGGATTACAGGCCAAGGCGCTGGCCAGACAGGCCAACCAGGCACCAGCACCTGCTCCCCGAGGCCTGAGGCCGGCCCTGGGACCCCCGGGGGCGGGAGCTTCCTGACATGTCCCAGGACGACTGCCAGAACGGCGGGGGCTGTGACTGCACTGACGGCCGAAGGGTCCGTGGGGTCACGGGATCACGTGTGCAGTGTCTCAAGATGTGTCTAAGGCACTGCAGGCGCAGAAGGCCCAGAGCAGCCGCCAGGTGCTCTGCAGGTAAGGCCTGCGTGAGGGATCAGCGCTTCGCCCGGCGGGGTGGCACGGGCAGGGACACCGCAGCGAGGCGGGAGTAGGAGGCAGCGCACGCCAGGAGGAGCCAAGGCGGAGCCCTGAGCCGCCTCGCCAGGCTGCCGTCCCGCCCATGCGCAGGCCACGCTCGTCTAACAAGCGCGTGGAGGCAGGACGCCCGGGAGAGGAAAAGCGGCACCAGAGGCACGCGGCGGGGCCGACGGTGGCACGGGGGACCGTGTGGTCCCGACACAGCACGTGGCCGAGGCAGGGCGCAGGCACGAAGGCCAGCCGGAGAGGGTGGATCTCACAGGCGTGAACGCCACAGTTCACCTAGTGGCGTCAGCCACGGGTCAGCAAGGGGGAAGGGTGCCCCGACTCTAACCAGGTCGCGGGCTGGGGGTTTCCTTCTCATCTCTACCTGCAGTCAGTTTCCTACCACAAACCGATTCCTTCCTTGTCAAGAAACCGGCATTCCTACAGCTCTGGCTACAGACGGTGCACGCGAAGGGCACGGCACCCAGAGCTCTGCCCTGAACGCGCGAAACCCCGTTGCCTGAGTCCCCGCCTCCCGGGGCAGCCTGCCTCTCCTAGAGCCTCCTGGTGGGTCCCGACCGTGCACTGCCAGTGTGGCTGCTGGCCCCGCGGCCCCCGCCTTCACGAAGCAGAGCGGCAGCTGTCGTGTGGACAGGCCACAGTGTGCGGGGCCCCCC